CAAAATACCCGACACCCTAAATTAGGAAAGGAAAGGTTTATTTAGCTCACAATTTGTGGAGGTTTCTGTCTGTAATCAGCTGGCTGTAAGGCAAGGTGATGTGGTGAGGGACAACACCTCAAGGCGACAGAAGACCGCAAAAGCAACAAGAGCCAAAGGGTGGGGGTGGCACAAGCCTCTTTCCCTCCCTTATATTATAAGCAGGCTATCTCCCCAATCCAGGGCAGATGTGGCACTCACACCCTCTACAGTTCCCTCCTCTTGCACAGAATGAGGATGTTTATAAATGAGGACCCTGGCCCCCTGCTGACTTGCTTAGTTAAAGTTCTTAAGTTGACACAATGTATCAACCTGTATAGTGATACACCTCACACTCAGAAGGACTTAAACTTAGGGAAGTTGCACTTTTTGACAAGGAGAGTAATTTCTGAGTTGCTTAGAATTTCTTATAGAAATGACTAGATGGGACAACAGAGGTTTGCAGGTCAAGAGACAGTTTTAAAAGGGTAAAATGTGTCCATCATTTGGTACAGTAGTTTGGGCTAATCAACTGTAATGGTAAGGGAGCCATTGATGTACAAGGAAAGGTGGACAGTTCACATTTGATTAAGCTTTTCTATAAGTTTCTTCATGTAAAATGAGATGTTTTGCATCTTTGTATTTTACAAGGAAAAGTTATTTTCTAGGTTACAACCTGTGCACAATATGGAGTACTGTTAACCATGACAAGCTGCGAGTGTTGGAGAGCAGGTGTCTGATGTTCACGTGGTTTTGGGCTTTTTTTCTTCTAAGGTGGCAAATGCCATAGGGCTTTTTACTGAAAAAATGTTTGGTTTTACATGCAAAGATTTGCTGGAATTAGACGATAATTTGCACACATGAACAGTATCTGTGAAGAGCAAGCTTAGAGCAAGGCTCACTTAAGTATTTTGGATCATTAATTGTGTCAACTCCACTTGAGTAGGAACGTCTAGCAGATTAGTACAGACCTGATGTGTGCGGATGATTGGCACAGAGGCTACAAACTAAGGACAGAAGACCCACCCTGTATGTGCTTGGCACGAAACAATAAACTTGTACCGAGGGTGGAGTAAAAAGAAAAAACAAAGCCTTCCTTTTTGTCCTGTGGAGGAGGTCTGTTCTTTGCTATTGCCTTTGGATGTTGGTCTTCAGTTCCTTCAGACTTCTAGCTCTAAGCCTTCAGGATACCAGTGGAGATTCTGCAGCAGGGAAAGAGCCTGAGAGGAAGGGGCAAGAGACCAGATGTGATTTCTGAGGTCATTCCTCTTTGCCTCACTCAGACACACTTAGACATGTGCCTTACTACGTCCCAGACATCTCTTGAGCCAGTAAATTTAACAGTAAGTCTAACCGTCCCATTACTCCAGGTGAGAACTTTACTGTGGTAAAACTCATATGTTGAAGGAAAGAAGCTTTCAACCTGTGAGGAAGGAATAGTGTATTCTGGGGAATTTTCCATATTAAGTCCTTAGGTAACCTGGTCTCATCACAGGCTAAATTTGACTACATTTGTCAGATTACATTTTGCCTATCATTCGGGCCCTCCTACTAAGATTAGTCTTAAGAATTCTGAATTTCCTAGTGACCTTGGATAAAGTAAGTTGCCTATCTGAGGTAGTTGAAATATTTTTTCTTTTATCTTGATTTCTGTACATAATATTGCTATCATATTAAACCAGTTTATTTATTAAATACTTATATTCTCTTGGTATGATTTTATCTTTCTGCTGAAAGTGTCTAGATTTAGTGATAAGGTATGAGGAAAGTCTGTTCTGTAAGCCACATGTCTCATTCAGTTTTCACCCTCTGATGACACTAGGACATCCCTTCTATTCTATTGTATCTTGCCCTTGCATTGTATCTGGGAGTGCAGGAGCACT